AATTTAGGATTGCATTAGCTTTTTTGGCGGCGGCTGCACAATGCTTACTCATATTTAGGTGGTTGTCCACTAAGACTCCAAGATCCCTCTCACAGTTACTGCTATTGAGCCTGGTATTGAGTTACTACTATTGAGTTACTGCTATTGAGCCTTCACAGATCCATAAGCTTAAATGTTACAAAGTTTCCTACTTGTACAAGGGGTTGGACTAGAAGACCTCCAAGGTCCCTTCCAACTCTGTTATTCTGTCCCAACAAGTTAGATTTCTCCCTCTATGTTGCCTCACAAAAATGAGCTAACCAAGATGAAATACTAATGGTTGTGAGAATGCAGCCGCTGGGCTATTAACTCATCTTGGCTAAACGGGGCATGTGGATCTGACTAGCATTTAGCAAGGCACCACAGCTGCTTCCTGGCCTCTACGCAGGCTGAGAGCCTGGAACAAAAAAAAAATCCAGCTCATTAATTGTTAAATTGCCTTTGTTCATTTCCTGCAAGGCAGAATCTCTCGCTCGCTTTTTCTGTGACATTTACACAGCCCAGACAAACACTTTGAAATTTTGACACCTGAGCAAGCGGCAAGCTTTTCTCTAGCCTGGAAACAGGCCTTTTGTTATCCCCCCACCCCCATGTGTGTGTGTGTGTGTGCAGATGTATCTGTGATTCTATTACACACACACACACACACACACACACACACACACACACACACAAGCGTACATCATTTTTTACCTTCATGCCTCTGTCTGCAATTCATCCCCATCTAAGGGAACATTTTAGCAGAGCCGTCTTTATAAAATACTGTAAAATCGTGCATCCAGTGTTGGTCACCACACTATAAAAAGATGTTGAGAGTCTAGAAAAAGTACAGAGAAGAGCAACCAGGATGATGAGGGATCTCTGGAGGCTAAAACATACGATGAACGGTTGCAGGAACTGGGCCTGGCTAGTCTAGTGAAGAAAAAGACCAGGGGGGACATGATAGCAGTCTTCCAATATTTGAGGGGCTGCCACAGACAAGATGGGGGTCAAGCTGTTTTCTAAAGCACCTGAAGGCCAGACAAGGAATAATGGATGGAAACTGATCAAGGAGAGATTCAACCTGGAAATAAGGAGAAATTTTCTGACCGTGAAAGCAATCAACCAAAGGAACAGAAGTTGCCCTCGGAAGTTGTGGGAGCTTCACCACTTGAGACTTTCAAGAAGAGATTGGATTGCCATCTGTCAGAAATGGTATGCAGGGTTCTCCTGCTTGGGTGGGGGTTTTGGACTAGATGACCTATAAGGTCCCTTCCAACTCAGTTAATCTGTAAACACCATACAGGTAATCCTCGTCTTAACAACAGTTCAATTAGTGACCGTTCAAAGTTCCAATGGCACTGAAAAATGTGACGTATGACCGCTTGTCACACCGATGACCATTGCTGTATCCCCCATGGACAGAGGATCAAAATTTGGATACTTGTCAACTGGTTCATATTTACGACATTTGTAGCACCCCAGGGTCAGGCCATCCCCTTTTGCGACCTTCTGACAAGCAAAGTCAATGGGGAAGCTTAACGACCGTGTTAGTAGCTTAACAACTGCAGTGATTCACTTAACATCTGTGGCAAGAAAGGTCGTAAAGCAGGGCAAAGCTCTGTCATGCCCCTCTTGGAGTCTGACTCCGAGGGAGAGGTGGAACAGCTGACAGGGAATGGGAGTGTGGCTCCGGTGGTTGTGGAGGAAACTGGGGAAGGGCGCAGGCCGGATGAGCATTCAGAGGAAGACCCCGGCCCATCCCCTCTTCATCCTAGGGCATGCAGGGAGGAGTGGATAAGGGATAAATGTGAGTGGCATGATCTACGGGGGAGGAAGGGGCCCTGATCCCCTTCATGGGCTGCAGCTAGGAGGACTGGTTAAAAGGACAAACTGCGCATGGCAAAGGTGCTGGAAGCAAAGCGTGCATTCTTGTCGGAGCTTATCTGTGTTTTGGCTTCCTCCCAACTGTGGTTGCTGCGTTATCTGGTAGAAGTCTGCAATTAATCATCCTTGCCTGCCGTAGTAATTCCTTCAGTGTGGTTTGTGTTGGGTTTTTTTAATTTCGAATTAACTTTACTTTGGGTGCAGACTGCATTTATTCCCTCCATAAACTGTTTTCTTTAAGAGTTTGATATCCTGCAGAGGATAGTTGGACATTGGGGCCAAGTTGGAGGCATTAAAGAGACTTTCTTCTATTTTTGTGACTTGGTTATTTTTGTGTCATGCCCCGGGTCATCACAAGCTCACTTAACAACTGTCCCGCTCACCAACTTAAATTTTGGGCTCTATTATGGCCGTAAGTTGAAGACTACCTGTACCAAGGAATACCACATCATTGTCATCATAATTATTACCATCACCATTATTATTTCAAAAGACGTTATTGTCAGGTTCTGCAGCAGCAGAATTACAGGGAGTCCTTGGCTTGAGACCACAATTGGGCTGGGGACTCGTTCTTTAGTGAATTATACCCCATTATTTGCCACGGTCTTTAAGTGAGTCATGCGATTGCCAAGCAAGTCCAGCTTCCCGGATTTGACTTTGCTTGTTGACAACCAGCTGGGAAGTCATATATAGCAACCCAGTGACCCTGGGTGCTGTATTTGTGTTAGGAATGTAAGTCACCTAACAGTGATTTGGGTTGGAGATATATAAACCAGGATAGACATTTTAGTACTATGTCTTTAAGAGAATGCAAAAACTGCAATTGGGTGTGGTTCGGCAAATGGCCATAAGATGGAGCCAGAAACCTGGGTTGTTTTAGTCTCAGAAGTCTCAGTGAAGTGAGTGAGTCTCTGTTTCCTTCTGTTGGAAAGAGTTGCTGTTCCTCCATTTTCCCCTATTGACTGTTATTCTTGGATTTGATGTAAGTCTGTTACTGAACTGTTTTTTGATACTGGACTTTGATATTGGAATTATCCCTGGACTGAACACTTGACTGCTTTAAATGTGAATGACTTGGACTGCTTGTTTGGACCGTGCTTAAACGTTTATTGAAAGTAAAAACCTACATTAACCGTACAGTGCATCTGTGTGCTGTGTGTGTATTATTCAAACACTTCTCTCACTACGTCTCCCTTGTATGCGCTCATTCTCCTAACGGGGAATTACCTCAACAATTTGTCTTAAACAAAGCATCGTTGTAACTTTGGACGATCATTTAATTAATGGTTGCAATGCAAGCGGAGGATTACCTATAGTATCATCTTTAATTAAGAGAGTGCTGATCGTTGATTTTAAGTTAAGGCTGCTATTTCTCAAAAAAAACTCTATGGATTGCGTGTGCCTTGTGTTTAGCTGGAAAGCCATTGTTTTGTTGCTGTTGAAAATGTTGTTGTTGCTGAGCATATTTTCTTAGTTAAATAAGCAGGAGAGATGAAGAGCCTCTTTACTATGAGGATTAAGGTTCAAGTGATCAAGTCGAGTCTTCTCTTTTTCACCCATTTACTTCCTGCCCTTTCCCTTTCCCTTTTCTTTCCTTCCCTTCTCTTCTTCCATTCCTTTCCTTTCCCTTTCCTTTCCCTCCCTTCCCTTTCCTTTTTCTTCCCTTCCCTTTCCTGTCCTCTCCCTTTTGTCTATTTACTTTCTTCCCTTCCCTTCCCCTTCCCTTCTTCATCCATTTATTTCCTTTCCTCTCCTTTCCTTTCCTTTCCTTTCCTTTCCTTTCCTTTTCCCCTTCTTTTCCTTTCCTCTCCTTCTTTTTCATCCATGTACTTCCTTTTTTCCCTTCCCTTTCCTATCTATTTCCTTCCCTTCCTTTCTTTTTTAGCCATTTATTTCCTTCCCCTTTCCTTCCCCTTCTCTTTCTCCTTGCCTTCATTGTTGCATTTTAGACATGATTTTAATCATCTTTTCTTGCAGCAGTGGAGTTTGGAAAAAAAAAAATCTCCTGCTTGCCAAGGTCATATTATTATCTGCTGCTTTGAAAATGTCAGCTTTGTTAGATTCTGAGATAAATGACCTGAGGAAAGAGCATAGCTCAGTAACACAACAATGACTGCCACGTAGGTATCACCTCTCCACAAAATGTCTCATTCATCATTATTTAACGACCCCATAATCCCTTGCGGGGTGGAGTTTAGGCAACTGAATGGAGCTAGAAGAATGTTTTTTTAATAGCCAGATGCCCTTACGGTCACCAATGTGGAGTTTTGTTCAGGAGATATATTCTCGTTGTGCCCAGAGAGAGAAATATTTGCCTCTACCTAGGATCAAACTCACAGCCTCCCGATTGTGAGGCGAGAACTCCACCTCTAGGTTACTGCACCACTCTCACACAATGCCTCATTACCCTGTGAAAATCATGGCCTTAAGACTGGGATTGTGGTGCCTCAGTGGCTAAGATGCTGAGCTTGTCAATCAGAAAGGTTCGGCAGTTCGGCGGTTCGAATCCCTAGCACCGCGTAACGCGGTGACGGAGTGAGCTCCCGTTCCTTGTCCCAGCTTCTGCTAACCTAGCAGTTCGAAAGCACGTAAATAACGCAAATAGAAAAATAGGGACCATTTTGGTGGGAAGGGAACAGCGTTCCATGCGCCTTTGGCATTTAGTCATGCCAACCACATGACCACGGAGACGTCTTCGGACAGCGCTGGCTCTTCGGCTTTGAAACAGAGATGAGCAGCGCCCCCTAGAGCCGGAAACAACCACTAGCACGTATGTGCAAGGGGTAGCTTTACCTAAGACCGGGAATGGCCCCCCAACTGAGATGGCTATTAAAGAGGACTAGACAACCAGTTGCCTCCTGAAAAAGCATCTTTGCTACAATACCTTCAATATTATTAAACAAAAACCACATCTGCCTATCCCATGTACTTGGGAAAGATTCAATAGGTTGACAAAACGGCCAGATCCAGTCTGAACATCTGGCTGACGGTGCAACCGACCATAAATAACACAATAATAAGAATCCTGCATTTCTTTCCCATGCATCTAAGCTCCCTCCCATGCACAGGACGCATATGTTCAGTGTTCCCCTTACCGTGTCACCCCCCGAGGCGAAGGAGATGGATTGCATGTGGTGATTCGCGATGATCTACAATGGAAACAGACAGACAGATAGAGATGGAAGGGAAGGTATGGTCAGCTTTGTGAGGAAGAAGGGAAAAAGGCCAATAAAAAGGCTTGGGCATTGCTCAGCAATTGGCCGGATCATATTGTTCAAACCACAGGAGTCTGCAAACTTGGCAACTTGAAAACTTGTGGATTTCGACTCCCAGGATTCCGCAACATTGGCTGGGATCGCCCATGCGGCCAGTTGAAAAACATCAGGTGTTTGCTACACTGGCAGTCCTTGATTTACGACTACAATTGGAACCAGAAAATTCACTGTTAAACAATGCAGTTATGAAATGAAGTAACCCCATGACTGCATCCAACATTGCAACCTTTTTTCCAGCAGTCATTAAGCGAGACATATATATGTCCATATATATGGGAAAGACGCGAATAGTGATCACATGATCCCAGGACACTACAACTGTCATGAATGCAAGCTCATGGCCAAGCACTCAATATTCACAATTCAATACCACGGGGATATTGCAACAGATGTAAGTCCAAGGACCAATTGTAAGTCAACGCTGTCGTAACTTCAAATGATTGCTAAATGAATGGTCGTATGGCGAAGACTGCCTGTAAATTGATTTTACAGCTGGGCAGTGCTTTCTGATCTTACCCATTCAAGAAAGGATCTCTAATTGATCTCTAATGGATTGGGATCACCTATTTCAGTGATGGCAAACCTTTTTGTTGTGGTGTGCGAAAAGCGGCACCCACAATGCAATGCTCCCCGCCCCCCTATCTGCATTGCACATGCGCACGCCTCTCAGTTGATTTTCAGCCTGTTTGAGGCCATTTTCGCCCTCCCGGAGGCTCGAGGGAAACTTCTGCAGCCTCAGGAGGCCTCAGGAGGCCGAAAAACAGACCCGTTTTGGCACTTCCAGTATTTCCCTCGAGAAAATGGCCTCAAACAGGCCAAAAATCAGCCGGGAGGCGCATGCATGCGCAGTGCAGGTAAGTTTGGCTGGGGCTCGCATGCCCGCGCAAATGGTTCTGCATACCGCCTGTGGCACACGTTCCATAGATTCGGCATCATGGACCTATATGGTCATTCCAAGGATCTCACTCTAAATTGGCAACATACGCTTATGTTTTATGTTTTGGTAGGTTCTGTCAAACGTCGGCAAAATCAGGAGATTCAGGTAGTTCAAATGAGTATAAAGATTTATTACACCTTAAGATCTCTACAAGAATCTGACCAACTAACAGTCAAGGGAAATGAGCGGGAGATAAGAAAGTCATTCACAGTGGTCTGGATTAAGATCTCTTAATGCAGGGACTCGTGACTTATGACACGTTTGTCCTTTCCATCAGATTCAGCCTGATCATCTCCTACACGATTCCTAATCTCAGCAAAAGGTGTTTTGAAGTGGAGGTTGTCAGATTTGCCTTCTTCCAACACATACCTGAGGGGGAGGAGTCAGATGGCAGATGGAACAACCCAAATGGAGGATGGAGGTCTCACCTGTCGGGTGGTGGGGATCATCAGGTTCAACCCATCGATGGAAATATTGACAGCTATGCTAATGCCGGCAAATCGGAGATTGCTCTTGCCAAGGATTGAAAAGAGACTTTTGTTTGGCGCCTGGGAAAACAGAATCAGAGATCAACCGATCTATGAAAGCTCTTCAACCCTTTATCAACTCAGCAAAGTCAATGGGGCAGCTTAACGACTATGTGATTCTGTCATGCCTCAACATCAGATCTTTATATACTGTTGTTGCTCTCTAGCCCC